ACCTGTCCAGAGATGGGACATTGATGTGTTTTGTGCCCCTGTTGTGAGGAATCCACCAGGGCAGGCCACTCAGATATGGGTTCAAGCCAATAGGAAGCCTATTAATAAAGCCTCCTGGCTAATAAACACCGAGTGTCGGGACTTGAGTTCAGTCCCGAGCCTTTCTCAGGGTGAGCTTTTAAAAACACAAAAAAACGCAACCTGTGCTGACACACCTCAGCTGGCAAGACCACTCAGCCAGAAGCTGAGACTACAGAAGCCCAAAGCGAGGTCAGTGCAGGTATGGACTTTTCCTGGACTAGGTCCATCTTTCCATTCTGGCAAGCTCTGCTGCCTGTGTGCTGGGCTGCAAGGCCTGGATGGTTCTTTCCTCATGGTATCAGATGGGCTAAGTGGGTCTGGTGTCTTAGTCTAGGGCCTGTTGCACACCTTTCCACAAAGGATTTATGAACTTCTGGTGCATTACCAATTGGAGTCTTTCCCCAAGCTCTTCCTCTTCACACCCTCCTTGTACACACAAGCGAGGTGTGACCCAGGGTGAGCAAGCATTCTTGAGTTTAGCATCCTGAATACTGACACCCCAGGGCAAGGATGAACAGCCTTGGGGAAGATTAGCTGAGAGGTTCGTTCTCGTCTGCGGGAGTCTCCTTGGCAAGACAACGGTTACGTAAGCCCACTGTGGTTTCTCTTCAGCGTGGCAAACAAGCCTGGACTCTTTCACAGAAATGGGCCTACAAAACTGCAGGGATTTGGATGTTTTGGCTGCCCAGGCACGTCTGTGGTGCTTGATTAAATGTGCTGCTTTGGGTTTAGCAATTCATAAAAAATTGAACAAAATTTTATAAAATTAGCACTTTATAAAAAAAAGTACACCCAAATCCTTTTTTAAACCTAAATTACAATATCTATCAAGAGGCATGGCCAGGCTCTCTCTTTGGATCCATGAGGAGCTGACTGTGGGGAATCATACCCCATTGGCTTCCACATTCACACTTTGCTTCTGCTTCTGGTCCCTGTATTCTAGCTTGTGTCTCTTCTAGAACCCAACAATCGCTGGGAACAAAGGTGCTGACACTCTAAGGCTACTAAGGGGTTAACCCCGAAATGTCTGGACTTGAAACAGAGCCTTTCTCCAGCCCATGGAGAGAATAGGTCCTTCCAGGCAGGGTCTATGCCCTTCAGCACCCTAAGAAGATTTCTGGGGTCACACCTCTCAGTGGGGTATTGAGGTGGGGGAGTCCAGAATGGGCTGGAGAAGGAGACTGTAGAGTGTGACACAGGAAAGATGCACAAAGATTGGCAACCTTCCCGGCTATCTGTTACATGCAGGAGACAGGGTCTGCCCAGAAAAGTGCTAGCATGCCAACGACCCTGTGACCCACAGGAGACCACTCCTTCCTTTCTTGGAGCTGGGCCACACACGCTCCCTGCTTCTCTGTCTGAATAAATGAGCTCCCTTCCTGTATCTTTTAAATAAATTGTGCAGAGACAGAAAAAGCCCGTTTCAGGACAGCCAAAGCTACATAGTGGGACCGTGTCTCAAATAAAACAAAACACCTTAGCTTTGCTCAGACCGCCATCATATATATAACCTGACGAGCCAGTTTGTTAAAGGCTGTTTGACGGAAATACAATGCAACCTTGGGCCATCCTAAGAGGCCAGTTCTTGGGCTTAGGTAAATAGGACTGTCCCACAAGGTAAACAGAAAGGGGCAGTTTGGCAATCTATTAAGGGACTCGTTTTACTCCACATTGTCCAGATAAATATTTGTGTCTGAGGCTTTGCCGTTGCTGGAGCTCACACCACAGGCTCTAGGTTTGGTGGATCCCCTCTCAAAATCACAGCCCTCAAAGAAGCCCTTTAAAACCCTACGGCAATTCAGTCCACCTTTAACGATACAATTTAATCTGTGATACTGGGGTGGAACCCGGGACCTCATTGTTCTAATGCCAAGCTCTACTGCCAAGCCCTTGAGATTTCCAGACCGTTACTCTAGATACCGGGGGCTCATTTTGCCGCTATATCATCTTGCCTCTGAATCTGTCCCTCAAGGCCTGGGACCACAGGCTTGTGCTTCCATGTCTGGCTACATTTTAGTATTCAACATCAAACCCAAAAAATCTGAGGTGACCTTGTGTGACCCCAGAATAGCAAACAACATAGGCCTCACCGAGGCCATGTGTCTTCTGTGGTTATTTTAGTCACTGGACAGTCTAGTGCTGGTCCCTCTGGGGTGTAAAAACTTGACAACCTGATCTTTGAACTCATTTGATTTAATTTTATTTTTTTTTGTCTCTGTCAATCCCCTCCCTTTGGCATGTAGTGTGATTGTCTGGTTCTTATCCAGTGTAGATTTCCTTTACTTGTTTGGAGCCTTCTTTATTCCTGGAGTGTCTTTTCTGCGATGTAACCAGGACCTGGACCTTGTACTGCTCTGCATAGGTCTCCTCTTGACACTCCTCAGAATCTCAGACATTCGTTCTTATGCTGGTACCGCATGCCAGTAAAGGCTTATCTTGCCCCGCCACTACTTGAGAGCTGTGCTAAGAACACAGTAATTGCAAGGTGCCTAACAGTCGGATGATGAAATGAGCAGCTTGCCCACGGACGAGGTGGGCAGGCAGGTGCCCAGTCGCTCCTGCTGTGTGAGGGATGCTGTGTTCCTGAACGGGAACAGATGTGCCCTGTAAAAAGGTCCCTCTTCTCAGCCTAGGACCCGCAGCCCGCCCTTCCTCCCACGCCCCCTCCAGAGCCCTAGTCTGGTGCCTGATTCTCTGTCCGGCATTAGGACCGCCGTTCTCTCTGGGTCTGCAGCTGGCTGCTATCACTACCCACTCTTGCCTGGATGGATGCGGGTAGGAGACTTTGGGGCCTGGCCAGCTGGTGCCAGGTTTTGGCGCTAAGGCCTGCGAGGGCCTAGGTACGACCCTCCTCCCTCGGCCTGTGCTTGCAGCTGGCTCTTGTGCAGTGAGAGTCAGGCCAGTTTGAGTCCGATCTGGGGAGCTGAGTTCAGAGGTCACTTCCTCATTCCAGCAGCTGCGAGAATGATGCCAGCACCAGGCTTGGTGAGAAGTGGCAACTCACTGTCCCCTCTGCACACACAGTCCTGCCGAACCCCACATAGGAGCCTCCCAGTGCCGTTGACACTGCCCAAGAATGGCCAGAGGCCAAGGAGGAACGGTGTCAAGCACACAGCCCTTTCCTACCCTCACGGGAGCAGGAGCCCCAGTGCCTGTTTTAGAAAGGGAGGGACATGTGTGTCCTTGTGTGTCCCTGGTTCTGCCTCACTACAGGACTCAGGGCTGGCTTCTGAGTTTTCGTCAGTATTTCTCCAAGTTCTGTGTTAGTCACATGGGCCTAGGTGTTTACAGGGAGTCACCCAGCTCTGGGCCCTGGCCACTCTGGTCCACCAAGTCCGTTCCAGATGCCAAGGGTGCTAGGGTTCAGGAAGGCATTTCATTCTCTCCACCATGGTTTTATAGCTCTTGGACTGGGAGAAGAGGCAGCTCTGGCTCTGTGTTTTGGAGCTCGGTTCTATGTCTCCATGCTATGGCTGCAGTTCTGTTTCTATGAATGAGTCATTCAATAAAGGCAATCAGACTGGGGAAAAGGCAGGGGAGGCTCAGAGATTTCTCCATAGGATGTGGCTCCCGTTTTGTGGTACCCCTTCTCCTATCTATTTCACCGTGTGTGAATCAGAAGATGAGATGACCTCATGCTGACCCAGTTTACCTAAAGTTAGTGGATTATGTCAAACCTTGTTATCCCCAAACCTAGCATTCACACCCCAATCCAGAACAGCAGAATCTGTGTTTGCTGCTCCAGGGGTCTACCTTCCCTGCAGCCCTGTCCAGAGTCAGGGCCGTACCTTCCGAGAGTCAGAAGTGCTGCCCGAGGGTCGCATCTGGGGACCCAGAGAGGAGCAGCAGAGAGGAGCTGGGGATCCAGACTGGAAGAGAGGGACAGCTGTGACGTATCATACCTCTGCTCCATCTGCACCAGACACTGCGTGAGGAGTCGCCCTCCACTGCAGCTGGTGATGTGTTCTCTGTGTCTTCCTCCGTCCTTCCTTCGTCCTTCCTTCCCTCCTTCCTTTCTTTTCTTTCTTTTTTTTTTTTTTGGTTTTTCGAGACATGGTTTCTCTGTAGCTTTGGAGCCTGTCCTAGAACTAGCTCTTGTAGACCAGGCTGGCCTCAAACTCACAGAGATCCACCTACCTCTGCCTCCTGAGTGCTGGAATTAAAGGCATCGCCACCACCACCCGGCCCTCGCCTGTGTCTTTCAAGAGATGGCCCCTGCCCATTCCCCTGTTTCTCAACACAGTTCTGCACTTTTCTGTGTGGATCCCACTTCTCTTATCTTGGCATCTGTGCCTTCCTGGGCTATGTTGAATGGTCTCACAATTTACCGCAGAGGACAGCTATGCAGGGGGAGGGACATGGAATAGCCTCATGGAGAGATTCCACTTCTCTGGTCCCCTCTGCCAGCCACTTCTTTCCCACAGATAAACTTCAGGGAAGATGCCCTGTAGGAATTTTCTGGGGCAATGCCCATCTCTTCTCATACTCCAGTCTGTTCCCCAGGGGAGGGGGGATGGTTCAGTCTGTAGAGGGCTTGATATGCAAACATGGGGACTTGTCTCAGCACATGCACACACACAGGCACACACACAAAGACACACAGACACAGAGACACACACATACAGACACATGCTTGTGCACACACACATATACACAGATGATAGATAGACAAAGAGACTCACACACAACACACCCACATGCGTACACACTACAAGCACACACACACGCCTGTATGAGTGCACGCACACACAGATACGCAGAGATCCGGATGAGTATGCAAAGGTGTTTATTGAGTAGAAAAGATCTGTTCAGTTAAATGTGAAGAAAACCGGGGACAGTTTCATAAGGACAGGTGCTGACCGCAGCACGGGCAGAAGAACATGCTCTTCACCACTGTGAACATGGAGCTGGTTCTAGAGCTAAAATATCCCATCCAAGTGAACCGGAACCACTGGGTAAGTACCATTGTCTTGTGGAGTTCTGTTGTTACAAGCAACTCTGTAGAACATTGTTGCTGGTGACGTTTGGTATCGGCATTGTGTATAATGTGTTGCTGGAGTTGTGAGGTTACAGTAAGTTAAAGATACTCGAGCAGGACTATTATGACAATTTGTGTGTGTCCTATTTCTGCAGGGAGTATTTGGTCTGCCACACACAGCGACAACAGCAGCAAAAGTTGTATGAAGAAAAGTATTTTTGTCCTTGCAGTGTCCTGTATAGTTGTTAACCCCCTGCATTGCTGCCGTACATTGGAGGCCGGGCCTATTATTTACATGCTGGATTTCAAACCACTGGGAAGGGGTTAAACCCCGTGGGACCTGGACTGAGGAGACCATTAGTACAACTGGCAACAGCAGCAGACAAAGTCGGGGCTCCAGCAGCTTCACACCCATGCTCCTGTGAGAACAGAGAGAAGTAACTACTCCCCATCCCCCTCTGCTGGCACCGTGGGCTCACAGTTCCCCTGCCTCTCCCGTCCTAGTCTTAGAGTTGGGGGGGCTTACCCGGTCTATGTTGTGGCTCCCGTGAGAACACAGTGCTGGTTGTCCTGGAAATCAGGGATAAATGAGAGTTCTACCTGGACACACATATATAGAGCAGCCCTTGGGGTGGAGCTGGCAGAGCCAGGGGGCTGGAGTCTTCACCATGCAGGACCACAGATTGACACAATGCCTCGTTGTGCAACTGGCCTTCTGTTTCGTTGCTTGACCAACCAACGGACACCCAAAGAGCAGTGCTGCTAGCTCCTTTGTAAGGAACCTAACTCCAAGTCATCTCGCATGGGACAGACTTGGAAGTTTGAATCTGAACTCTGCACAAATACCTCTGTATCACCTGCTGATTGACTGCAGATTTTGTGACTGTGACTGTGTTACAGACAGATCAAGGTTCCCAAACGCCTGGCTACGAAAGTCAAATTCACAAGAGATATGCACAGTTCTGTCTCTCAGTCTTAACACCATATAATGGTGAGGTCTGGAGAAAAGCCTCAGCGGCTAAGAGCACATGCTGCTCTTCCAGAGGACCTAAGTTTGGTCCCAGCACCTATGTTGGGTGACTTAACGACTGTTTGTAACTCCGTTTCCAGGGGGTCCGATGTCCTCTAATAGCTTCTGTGAGCATGCACACACCCACAGATACACATAAATAAAAATAAATCTTAGGGACTGGTGAGATGGCTCAGAGCTTAGGGGCACCTCCAGCTCTTCCAGACACCTGTTCCAAAGAACTCAGGGTTGTCACCCAGAGCTCAGAGCTGCAGAGAACGCCAGCTCCAGGGCAATCTGACACCTTGTCTTTTTTGGCTTCTGTTAGTACCTGCACACATGTCACACACACACACTCACACACACGCGCACACACACATGTCACACACACACTCACACACATGCGCACACACACATGTCACACACACGCACACACATGTCACACACACACGCACACACACATGTCACACACACATACTCACACACACATGTCACACACACACGCACACACACATGTCACACACACACTCACACACACGCGCGCGCACACACGTCACACACACGCACACACATGTCACACACACGCACACACGTGTCGCACACACACTCACACACATGTCACACACGCGCACACACATGTCACACACATGTCACACATACACATTCACACACGCACACACATGTCACACACACTCACACACATGTCACACACACGCACACACATGTCACACACACGTCACACACGCACACACATGTCACACACGCGCACACACATGTCACACACACATGTCACGCACGCGCACACACACGTGTCACACACACTCACACACGCACACACACATGTCACACACACGCATACACACATGTCACACACACTCACACACACGCACACACTCACACATAAGTTAAAGTTAACAAATTTTAAAAACTGTATTCAGAAATAATAACAAAAATTGTCCTAAGGGCATGATGCATAATATTTTTCTGATTGTTTCCTGCATAAGATTACTTTGGACATTTCCAGCTACCCACATCTGCCTCCAGACTAGAACAAATTGCCTAGTTTTACACTGAGGACCTTCAAGAGAACACCTCTTTACCTAAGATGGTCTGGTATAAGCCCATGCTAGTGCACTGACCTTTCATGTGAGTTTGAATGTGTTTGTCTTTACTCTGGGATTTGGACCTGGGATCTGTGCTCTCTAGATAAACGCTCTCCACTGAACTCCATCCGCAGTGATGCACTGATGAGAGTTTTGACTTCAGCAGAGTAAATCCTCCCCTGCATTCCCGTCAATAGTACATTTCAGTTGTCATGAAGCACACCCAGAATTATACTCTAGTAGTAATTAGTTTTTATGACTTGATGAAGTGATAAGATATATCAAGAAATACTTCCTCATTTCTCATAAAACCACAGTGAGTCTTTTGCTGTCCCCTCGTTAGCTACCCCTTTGTGTGGATTTCACTGATGAGAGCAGGCGTCCACGACTTGGAATTTCTTCAACCTCGGTATATTGTTGCAGTGACCGCTCTTAACCTGCGGACTGACAGTGCCCAGGCTCAGCATAGTGTTGGACACAGCCGAGTGCAGGGACTGTGCAGGAAATGACAGTGCACAGCGTGTATAACAGCGTCATAACAACCTGTGTTTTAGGACTGATCTTTTGGGAGTGCTTAGGAAGTGTTGGGACAGGGTCTCACTCTGTAACCTAGGTCTAGTTAGAACTTTCTTGAAAACCCAGATTGGATTCAAATTTTCCACCCTTCTCCCGAGTGCTGGGGTTGTAGACCTGCACACCCACCCCCAGTTTGTGAGCCAGATTGTAGGTATCTCTGAAAGACTAGTGGAGGAAATGCTGGCTTATGGCCTGCGGTGCTGCTGGTGGGTAGTTAGGACCCCGTGGGCATGTTCTTGAAGGGATATTGGGACCCAGGTGCCCTCCTTTCTCCTCCATGACCTGGGCTTTGCTTTAGCACAGGCTTCTCACCAGCCGCAGACCCCCAAGGAATGGAGTCGCTGACTGCGGATTGCTTCTTTGAAACTGGAAAACAAGCTTGATCTTTGCTCTTCCAGGCCATTTGTCTCAGCTGTCAATCAAGCAGGAGAAAGCTGATTTACACAGCGATGCAAGTTAATTAACTGTGATTTATTTCTGAAAGTTAAAAGAGTATTCGGTGCATGGGGCTCTAAAATTGTCTTCTTTGTGTTCTGGAGCCTCCTCCATATCTCCTCGGAAGGCTCCTGAAGGAAAGCAGATCCTGAACTTTTGGATGAGGTTTCTGGAATTGCACAGGAATCCAGAGGCAGACAGGGTTCTGGTTTGGTTGTATCTGGGAAGGGCCTCGAGTCTTCCTTGTACACTCAGGTATCTGCAGAGTGACTCCGTGCATATAACTTCCATGAGGACCCTGTGGAGCCTGCGTCACCCGTCAGTCCATGCCTGCTGTGGGTGATTGGAACCATCTTGTTGGCTGTGGTCAAGTCTTCACACTGGGAGCCACCGAAGGTATTTTTTTGTTCCTCCCTTCCCCCTCCCTCCTTCCTTCCCTCTCTCTCTCTTCCACACACACTCTCTCTCTTTTTCTTTTTTGTTTTTTGTTGAGACAGGGTTTTTTTTTGTGTAGCCTTGGCTGTCCTGGAACTAGTTCTGTAGACTAGGTTGGCCTCAAACTCACAGAGATCCATCTGCCTCTGCCTCCTGAGTGCTGGGACTAAAGGCGTGCACCACCACCCCCCAGCACTGAAAGTGTCCTTATGGTACTCATTGAGGGGTGCCTGTCACATCCCATGTAGTGGTTACAGATAGAATGGATGGTGGGATATTCTGGCCCCTACCTGGCTGTCAGCTCCTTTGATTGGGATTTTAATTGAAATTACTATGAATCTACAGGTTAATATGAAAAAAAATGTATATATGTTTTTACTTATCCAAGCACTTACATTCAACAGAGGCAAAAACTTTTGGGGTCCAGATGGTCTGCAGCTTGTTTCTCAAGCACTGACCCCGATGTCCCCTGCTGATGGAAAGCTGCAGGTGACAAAATCTAGATCCTAGGAGGACTGTCCTCCAAGGGCAGGGAAGTGCAGGAGGAAGAACTCTGATGAGGGAAACACAGAGACTTTTTGTTCAAGCTCTGCTTGTAGCGCAGTCTCCAGTCGCTAGCTCAACAATATACAAACAGCAGTGGGGAAATAACATGCTCACTGTTGGGGAGACCCCAGAGCTTTGTGTCTCTGTCCACCAGTATCCCTTCCCAGTCCTTCTGATGCCCACAGCTGTGCCACTGATGGCTCAATGATGCAGAACTTTGTGTTCCTAGCACGCTTGTTTCCTAAACATCATGGTTCTCCTCATAAACCCACCTTACAGTTTCATTTACTGAGAGTGTACAGGACTACATCCCTTAGCATAACTGACCCCATGATGGAAGTACCATTCGGGCCATAAAAGTCAGCATATAGACGTCACCACCTGCCAAAAATGAGAACAAAGACCTAATCCATCAAAGTCCGTGGCTCTGGGAAAGTCTCTAAAAGTGCTGACCTGGCTTTTAGGCACTGTGGTTCTGTTTCTGGCTCACTGCTCTTGTTAACTGAAATATGTCAACCTAGGACATGGTTTTTGACCTTGAAAGTTCAACCTGAGAAAGGCTCAGGGCTACAGTGGGATCCTGGCCACTCGGTGTAGTCACCAGCCAGCTAATAAAGATTTTCTTCGGCTTAAACCCATGTCTGGGCAATCTTCTTTGGTGAATACCCCACTAGAGCAAGCCCTTATATTTTGTTTTGTTTTTGTTTTTTTAACAAACGACACTCTTTGAGTAGTATTAAGAAGAATGCTCTGTTGGTTGTCACCTTCAGGGATTGGCACTGAAAAGCCATCACGGTCTCTGCTTTTCTGCTTTTCTCACTCTCGGAGAACATGTCTTTCTTTCCCTCATTTTTTCTCTGCATTTCCCTGTGTGGCACGCTGAGTGTCCTGGAACTCACTCTGTACACCAGGCTGGCCTCCAACTCAGAGATCTTACTGCCCCTGCCTCCCAAGTGCTGGGATTGAAGCGTGGGTCACCACTGCCTGGCTTGAGAATCTTTCTTTCTACTGGCAATAGATATCATGTGCTTTGCTCTGAAACTCATTTCTTTTTTGAAGCTATGGATCCTGGTTTCACCTGGTGGAGGATTCTGAGAAGTTCCCAGCTAGCTACCGGTGTGGACCTGTGTTCCTATTGCTGGTCCATCAGGTCGGTGGACACAGCAAAATGGAGGCACCTCTTCTATAGGCCTTGGATACTATCAAGATATTCTTAGCTTTGGGTTGGCGGAAGCTAACTGTCTGTTCATGCATTCCAGAGGATTTACAGAACAGTTACAAAAACGTTAGGTCACACTGAGGTGTGAAAGA